CTGAGCTGCTCTATCTACCTGGAGCGGGGACGCTGCCCTGGGGACCCGAGCGCCTCGAGCTCGCGGCCGGGCGCGGGGCCCTTCTCCGCGCAGAGTATTGTGTTGCGTCAGCTACAGGGTGACCGGGAGCTAGAGAGCCAACAAACTGGTGTGGTGCTCAGGGGGCCCGGGTTTTGGACCCGGCTCTGCCGCAACCGTGGGCAATAGCTACCCCTCTGTGAACTGCAGTTGTCTCTTGAAGGTTCCTTACACCCTCAGAAATTTGGAGGTGCCCCACTGCTTCGCTCCCCGCGGTCTGATCGGGCTCCTGACGCAGTAATGGCGGTACCAGGGAACCAGCAGCTGCGTGAATGCTTCCATCGTCCTTAGCCTGCACTCTATAGTGCCTGCTCTGCCTGAGGCATACTGGACAAGTGCTGATTGGAAGGGAGTGGGTGGGCTCAAGGCCCTAAAATACCCCAGGACAGGAGAGGAAAGAGCATGGCCACTTTTGAAGAAATCCGAGAGTCCCTAGACAAAGGAAAGGGCTGTAAGGCGGGAGTTAGTGATACTTGCCTTTTCTCTGACCAGAGCAACGTGTTGGCAGGGTTACCAGGATTGATTCAGTGCCTGTCACCCACTGCTCTCACCCCCTCGGCCCGCACGCTGGCATCTCCACTCCGTTCTGCAGCCAAGCCCTCCAACCAGAGGGCTCCAACCAGACCTGACCAGGATTAGGAGCAGTTCACCTTCCTGCCACCCCTACGCTGGAGACACGCAGGCCTCGCTGGCCTCAGCTGGAGACCCCACCTCAAGATATTCTTGCAAGCCACACAATATTTATCGCATAGGAATTAAAACGAACATAAGTAACATTTTTATTTTTTTAATGAAAAATCACTTTATTTTCCAAAACCAGAAAACGTGTAGTGAAAATAGTGGCATTGCTTTACATTTTTCCAAGAATTTTTAATGACTGGCTTAATAGAAGACAGTGGGATTCACACGTCTGCTTCTGTTTTCAAGCCATTAAGAGATATTTTGATTCTATGCAGAAAATCTGGCCTCACACCGATGGGCAGGCATGGGATTGCATGGGCCACAGTGAGGCGTTTGTATCTTGTTCTGAGTGTAATGGGAACCCATTCGTGGGTTTTAAGCAGGGAAGTGTTCTCATATGATTCTTGCTCTTAAAGGCTTATCCTGGCTTATCTGTGGAGAAATGACCATGGGGTATCAAGGCGGGAGCAGGGAGGAAGCTAAGGAAATAGTTTCACAGGAAATGATGGTGGTTACACAAGGGTAGTGGTGGTAGAGCCAGAGAGAAGTGCTGGATCAACAGAATTTGCTAAAATTAAGTTAGGAGACGACGGCCCTGGCTGAGTAGCTCAGTTGGTGAGAGTGTTGTCCTAATACGCAAAGGTCTCAGGTTTGATCTCCTGTCAGGGCACATACAAGAATCAATTACCCAGCCGGCATGGCTCAGTAGTTGAGCATCGACCCATGAATCTGGGGGCCTTGGTTTGTTTCCCAGTCAGGGCACATGCCAAGGTTTCAGGCTCAATCCCTAGTAAGGGAGGTGTTCAGGAGGCAGCCAATTGATGATTCTCGTCATTGATGTTTCTACCTCTTCCTCTCCCTTCCTTTCTCTGAAATCAATAAAAATATATTTTTAAAAAAATCAACCAGTGAATGCATCATAAGTGGGACAACACATCAATGTTTCTCTCTCTCTCTCTTCCTCCCCCTTCCTCTCTCAAAGCAATAAAAAAAATGGAGGGGAAAAAACAAACAAAAAAGGAGATTGAGGAACAAGAGAAAAAAAGGAGTGAACAATGGCCAGAATTTTAGCATGAGCAATGACGTGGCTGAAAGAACCATCTTCTGAGATGGGGACCATGGAGAGAAAATTTGAGAGTTCTGTTTTTCACCCTTTATGTAGAGATTCCCCTTAGCCAGTTAGACTTGTGAGCCTGAAGATCAAGGAAATGTTGGGGCTGGAGATATATGTTGGGAGTGTCATTGGCATGTAGATGGTATTTAAAGCTGGGGACTGGAGGAAAAACCCCCTGTAGGGAAGAGGGTTGCTGGAGTTGTTAAGCAGTAAGGAACACGGGCTGTTTGGGAAGCTAAAACAATCGTGTTTTTATAGGTGCAAAAGGGATCAGATGAAGATGAGTTTGAGTTTGGGCAAAAAGACTGTGTGCTTCACACACTCTAGGGTTACCATGCATACTGGATCTGGATATTTAAAATTACAGTTATTTTAACCTCTGTGAAAATCTGAAAAAGGTGTTCCCTCTGGTCAATGCACACTAGTGGTCACCACAGCTTAATAAACCAAGTATGCCCTGGATTTAGGCTTCTCACCCCCAGGAGCACCATTAAGCAGGGCACAGCTTGGTGGCATTGCTTCTCAAAGCTGGGGCACACAGAGCTACAGGATACCAGGAACATCTTTCTAGAGCATCATTCAATCAGTTATGTTTTGATAACAGCTTTTATTTAGGGAATAGAGGTGTTAAGCTAGCATAGATAGATTATAGCACATGAAAAACTGTATGTGGAATTTAAAGCGAAAACCAAAGACATTTCTTTCTTATAGCAGTAACTTTCCCCCAAAGAAAAAGATTAAAAAGCTTTGCTTCTATGTATCTGTGTATTCATAGAAGCTAGAAAAATATCTATCATTTATTTAGCATTTGTTAAGTGCTAGCAATATGCTCAAGATATAATCTCTAATTCCATAATAGCCTTTCTTATCCCTATGAGACAGAAGAAGAGACAGGTTCAGCCTGGTTAAGTAATTTGGCCACAGTCACACAGTGAATACAAGTCAGAGCTGAGATTGAATCTTGGCATATCTTTATAGCCACACTGTTAATCACTATCGTAGACCTGTCTTCATAGTGTCGCCAACGTGGTCCTTAGAGTTGTTGTAGTGCCCATGGGCAGAGGATTTGGACTCAGTTGGGGGCAGGATTATCCTAGCTATTAGAAGAACTGGTGGCATAGAAAGAGCCCAGAACCAGGAAGAGGGGCAGCTGGCATGGATGATCCTTGCTTAAGATTACCCTCCAGGGCTGAAACCTGCTGCTTGTGTGTAAATCTTTGGAAGACAGGTGATGACAGACATCATCACAAGGGCTTCTCTCTACTATCTAGGCTGCAGAGACTCTATTCTTACAGCAGATTATATTTTCCAAGATGGCCTTGACAAGATCTTCCCTTCTACATACTCATCACACAGTATGATGTTGATGCTTCTTCCATAGGGAAAGGTCTCTCACCTGAGTCTGGGAGGGATTGTGACCTCCAGGGAGATGTGATGCTATATGACTTCCGAGGCTAAGTTATAAAAGGGGATACAGCTTCTGCTTGGTCCTCTGGGGATAATTGCTCTTAGAACCCCACCACAATGCTTTGAACAAGCCCAGCCACACAAAGAGGCTACATGGAAGTGTTTCAATCACAGCCACAGCTACTGTGTCAGGGTTGTAGACAATTTTCTTAATGTAGGTGCTGACTTCTTTTTAAAAAATATTTTTTATTGACTTTTAGAGAGAGGAAGGGAGAGGGAGACAGAAACATCGATGTGAGAGCAACACATCCATCAGCTGCCTCCTGTACACCCCCTACCAGGGATTAAGCCAAAATTTGGCAGTGTGCCCTGACCAGGAATTGAATCCAAAACCCTTTGGTGCCCAGGACGACACCCAACCAACTGAACCACACCAGCGAGGGCTAGGTGCTGACTTCTTTAACAATTTTCTCATATCTCTTCTGGCTATAGGGCGGTGGCTCAATGGAATCCGTTTTGTTAACACCAACAATCAGTTGTTTCACACCCAGTGTGTAAGCCATGTTCCCGGGACTACCCATTCTTGGAGATACCTCCTTCAAATTCATCAACACCAGCCGAAACAATCAGGACAGCACAGTCAGCTTAAGATGTGCCTGTAATCCTGTTTTTGATAAAGTCTCTGTGTCCTGGGGCATCAATGATGGTCACATAATACTTACTGATCTTGAATTTCCACAGGGAGGTATCAATGGTGATACCACACTCATCATGGTTGGCTTTCAGTTTATCCAAGACACAAGCATAGTGGAAGGAGCCCTTCCCCATCTCAGCAGCCTCCTCAAATGTTTCACGGTTCTTGTGTTGATCCCACCATATTTGTAGATCAGATGCCCAGTAGTGGTAGCCCTGCCAGAATCTGTGTGTCCAATGACGGTGTTGATATCACTCTTTGCCTTTCCCATTTTGGGTTTGATTTGGTGGTGGTTTTCAGACACACCTCTGTTCTGGAGGCAAACCTGTTGGGAAAAAAGAAGTGATGAGTTTTAACTATTTATTACTAATGATTCTGACTCCAATTGCGATGTGCTCCCTCCCCCCCTTCTGTCCCCG